AAGGTGCCTTTGCAAAAGGCCAATGCGCTCCTGAAGCTCGCAGCCCGGGTGGCTGGCGCTCCGTCTTTCCTCAACCCATCCACATAGGCGTAGCACTGCTCCTTGGTGAGAGGAAAAGCATCCAGACCTTTCGATCTTGCCCACCTCACATACATCATCATTGCACTCAACCTCACTTGCAAGGTTCCATTCTTCTTGCGGGCAAATATGTCATCGAGGACGGTCTCACCACACTGGTCCAGCATGCTTGATGCCTTGCACACCTTCCTGGCCTCGTCAATGATGGCCATCCAACCTGCGAGGGCTTTCTGTCGGTCGTCTGCTTCAGATTGTGCCCAAGGCCGTCTCACCCTGTCGGACTTCTTGAAGCTGGCTTGGATGTCCAACTCACTTACTTTCTCTTCGGCTTTCTTCATCTCCACATCTGCATGCTCCACCGCCCATGCTTTCGTGTTGTTCTTGTCCATGAAGGGCGCCTTCATCACTTGGCTCCCCTGCTGCAAAACCAGGCCAGCGAACCCCTTCTCCCAGGGCATCTTCAACTCCTGCGGGAACTTGTACTTGAGCTTCTTCAACTCACTCTGAATCATCTCATCTGGGCATCCAGCATCATCTTCTTTTCGATGAACTACTTCAGCCTCCCTCTTCACCGCTCTGGTTTGTTGCACCAACTGTTTCAAAGCCTCCAAGGGACTCACCACTGCCATCTCCTCGTCGGACCCTTCTACCACCTCTGTCGGTGACTCCACCAGTGGCCCCTGGTCCTACCTCACATCACACTTCCTCACGTCGACCACCTCACGAACCCTCTCAGCCAGCTCTTGGAGGCTCTCATGAGCCGGCTCTTGGAGGCTCTCATGTTGATCATCATCATCTATGATGATCGTGCCCCCTACCGTGCCATCCCCCCCATCGAGGGGGCTATCCTCTAAGTTCATGGCAGCAACCAAAGAAGAACACGGGTAGGGGCACTTGAAGCCAAAATGGCACACGTACGCAACCGTTCAACACTTGTGTTTCGCTGTTTCTTCGTTTTCAAAAGGCACCATCATTTCATGACGGAATGCATAAATATTCCAATACTCCAGAATAATTAACTGAGGCACCCCCCATACAGAAAAGGTCTCAAGAGAACAAACCATATGCTCAGATACTATACATACACTAGTCTTGGAACCTACAAGCATCCAATGTTCA